AGCCCAATAAAACACTCAAATAATTCTACAAAACTAAATCACAGGTGGAGCCATACAAGTTTTAATTACAAATCAAACAATGATATAAACCAACCAACAAAATTACAATAATCGAATTTTTAAAAAACAACGCAAACTCTAGATCACAACTATAAATGCATGCCAATTAGGTTAGCAAAAGTTGCACAACTAATATATCTAGCCTAACATAAAATAGAAAAAAAAACTTTAAATAAACCCTTTTAACACAAAAAATAATGTCAAACAAACAACATATAACTGAACATATTAAAAAAGTTCATAATAAGAAAATATTAAACATAAAACAAAGTATGAAAGATATAATCAAGTATTTAGGTGCCTATGAAGAGAATTTTAATAATATTTTTACATAACCATATTTTTAAACGGGTTCGAGTAATTATCGAGTAGTGGGTATGTGTTTAGGTTTGGCTTTGGGTAGTAAATTTAAAAAATATTCGAATAATTATAAGATTCGGATATTTCATTTATTAATTGCGTTTGGTTTTAGGTACTTCAAAATTAGCAAGTATCTTACCCGTTAACTTCTTTAAAACCAAAGCCCCAACAAAAAAAGAATAAATTAATAAAATCAACAAGGAAACTCGTGGATTAAAGAAGAAGGTCTACTTTGAAAACTAGTATACAAACGAACAACTTTGTTTGACACAGAAATAAAAAAAGAGTGAGATTTTTGGCCAATTATCATTAGTGACAAATAATAAATATACAATTGAAAAAACTAAATGATAAACAAAACATAAAATATAAAATAAAAACAACAAAACAAAGAAATAGCTAATGCTACAAATCTCAAAAACCAAACATGAAAAGGAAAATAATAATTCTTTTCATGATTAGAAAAGATCAAACATAAAACAAACCATTGAACATATTTAAAGAGAGAACAACTATCAATCAAACAAACTAAACAAACGTAAATGAACAATACAAATAAAAAATAATATAAAGAACTAAATCAAAACCATGAAATAATCCGACCAAAGTAAATCACAACGGCGACATAGAAGTTTCAATCATGAAACAAATAATGATATAAACCAAGCAACAAAACTGGAATAATAAAACCTTTAAAAAATAATGTAAACCTTAAATCAAACCCATTGTCCCTAAAAGGAATATCATCCGATCTCACAGGGAAACCCATTGTTTCCACATAGCAATAACCCAAGTAGAAAATATTTTTTAAAAGAACAATTATA